AAGCATTGCTGGGGCTGGTGTGCAATGGCTCTTAAATACCAATCTTATTAACCAGCTCAGAGGTCCCAGGAGGGGGTGCCACCCTGGCCCATGAAGCAAAGGCCCCAGGGCAACCCCCCACATTCTCACGCTGCAAAGCCATGCCCAGGCATCTCCCCATGACCAGGAGAAGCGTGGGAACTCCCGGCCTAAGGGGATGAGATTTTGATTTTTCTGAACAGGTTGGAGCATGTCATATAGCAAATATACACACCATGCAGATTATTAACCAGGCACAAGTTCTTAACTGTGTATTTGGTCCTCATGAACCTGCTAAGACTGGTGTGATCGTGCTCTCCTCCCCTTTACAGATGGAGAAACTGAGGCACAGAGAGGTCAAGTAACTTGCCAAAAGTCCCACAGCTTGTGCAGGAGAAATTGGGATTTGAAACCAAGTGGCCTGGCTTCACAGTCAGACTCCTAACCACTGGCCACATCAGTGGCCTCCTATCCACCACTAACACCCCGACTTCTCCTTTGCCACTCTACCAGTGACAGACAGACACAGCCTAAAGGCAGCAGAAGACCTCTGGAGCTTGATGACTTGGGCTAAAGGGAAACCTTTGGTCTCCTGAAGAGAGACAGGCTTATGGAAAAGGATACAGGCTCTGCACCATGGCTTCCAATACCAGCCCTGTCACCTACTGGCCATGTGCCTCTGGCCATGCACTAACCCTCGTTAAGCCTCCATTTCCTCACTGACAACACGACAGACTCAGTAGGGTGAGGATTCAGTGTGATAAGGCACAAACAGTGTTGTATCTACTAGTACAGGTGGCCCTGGAACAACATGACCTAGAACTGCGAGAGTCTGCTTACATGCGAACTTTTTTCCACCCCAGGACAGTAAGACATCCTCCTCTGCTTTCTCAACAGGAAGACGAAAAAACCAAAGACCTTTATGATGATCCACTTCCATTCAGTGAGCAGTGCATGTTCACCCTTCCTTACGATTTTCTGAATAACATTAACTTTTCTCTAGTTTACTTTATTGTAAGAATATGGAACAGAACACAATAGGTAAAACAGCACACGAAATAAGTGTTAATCAACTGTTTATGTTATTGGTGAGGCTTCTGGTCAACAGAGGCCATTAGTAGTTAAGTATTGAGGGAGTTAAAAGTAATACGTGACACAGAGTGGTACGATGGACACTGGAAACCCAAAAGCGGTTAAGAGTGGGATGGATGAAAATTACGGCTGGGGTACAATGTATGAGGTTGGACGCTTACATGCTACGTCCCTCACTGCTGAGTATCACGATAATCACTTTTGAGGTACTCCTCCTGGGAAACTGAACACCAACACCAATGCCTCGTCCACCCTTCAAAGCAACTTTGGAACTCTTTCATGGAACGGCCATCGGATCTGTCATTGCACAAGGCCTGACAATTAAATTTGTGAACTCAATAAAAGTGCTACATACTTCATTGCTAAATATCACTATGGTCACCTTCAAAGTACTCCCCTGGGCCATCACCACAGTAATAATCAGCAATGAAGTATGTAGATCTTTTTCTAGGATGAGTTCTTGAACTTAATTGTTCAACCTCATATATTATTCAGGTGATGGGTACGTCAAAAGCCCATATTTTACCACTATACAATATATACATGTAATACATCTATCTAAAAAGAAATACATTTTCAACTGTGTGGGGGCTGGTACCCCTAAGCCCCAGTTTTTCAAAGGTCAACTGTAAATAGTAGCAGTATTTAGTAAGGATAAGCAAACTACAGCCCAAGGACCAGATCTGGTCCATGGTCTATTTTTATAAATTAAGTTTTATTAGAATGTAACCAAATGCATTTATGTAGGTATTGTCTCTGACTATTTCTGTACTATGACAGCAGAGCTGAGTAGCTGTGGCAGAGACTGTATGGCCTGAAAACCTCAAATACTATCTTTCTGGCCTCTTGCAGAATTAGAGTGGCTGCCCCCTCACACACAGAGGAGCCCAACATTATTTTCATGGAAGAGCATTCAACTCAGGTCTCCACAATTTCTCTGCCAGGTGTTGGTTAACAATAGATTTTGGAAGTGTTGCACTTCATTTAATTATTCCTACATGTGCCAAATCCAATCAAGAATATAGACAGGAACCACCTGGACCACTCAGACAAGGGTAAAACTCTAAGGGAGAAATGAAGCTTTTCTGTTCTAATCTTTCCAAATGAAAGGAAGTGGTGTGGAGATACACATTTGCTACTAAACTCACCAAAACCAGATGAGTAAAAAGGTAAGAGTTGTCCCTGTAGTAGGGGCCAGATGGAGGTTAGTTGTGTACCCATTCTTGCAGCCCTCTCTGTGCACTTGGGTGCACACGGCCACCCCTACCTGATTCACATCCCATTCTAAGTGGACTCTCACAGTTCTAGCTCATTCTGTGACAAACGGTGAACACAGAGCACATGCTGAAAATAAGGACAGCTCTGATGAACTGAGTGGCCTTGTATAAGTCTCTTCTCCTACATGAGCCTTATTCCTGTTTTTTTTTGGAGACAGAGTCTCACTAGGTCACCCTTGGTAGGAGTGCTGTAGCATCACAGCTCACAGCAACCTCGAACTCTTGGGTTCAAATGATTTTCTTGCCTCAG